CCCTGTAAACTTTCACTCAATCCACAATAAAAACCTTAAATTAAAAAACAAAACAAAACACAAAGAGCAGATTAGAAAAGCAGAGGAATCAAGACACCAAGCACATGAAGACTGCCCAGGAATCAAAGTTCAACAGAGACTAGGATCTTCCACCAAAACAAAGAAAAAGAGCAAGCCTTTGCCTTGAATTGGCATCACGAATTCAGAGGTCCAGCTTCCTAAACTAAGAAAATAAATTTGCTAAAGCCGTTCACTTGGGGTATTTCTGTTATAACAGCACTAAATAACCAAGACAAGTAGTATTTTATGTTTATTATGTAAATTACTTTAGATTCCAAAAGTACATAGCTGGGAGGTCACATTATGATCTCAGAAGAGTCATAATAGAAAAAGGAGTAGGTATGTTTTTGTATAATTGTTTCAAATCTTCATCTAAATCCATGCTTTATTAAAGACGGAAAGAAGTAAAATGGAAAAGGCAAAACCTATATTTAGCCTTTCCCAAAGAAATTATTCTGATGAGTTTTATAGCATTTTATAGATTTATAAGGAATCCTGGTTATGTGTTAGACTGCTAACTACAAGGTCAGCTGTTTGAATCGGACCAGCTGCTCCGAGGGAGAAAGATGAAATTTTCTGCTACTGTAAAGATTCACGGTCTCGGAAACTCTACACAGAGCCACTATGAGTTAGAACTGATTCAACCTCCACCACCACCACCAAAGCTCTACTTTATTTGACTGAACATCCAAGTCCTCTTTTAATAGTAATCTTTCCATAAGAATTTTCATAGACCCTTACTTACCTGATGGTCCTGAATCTTCCTGCCCACCACTCGGAAAGTGTTGTTGCCTGTATGGTGATATATATGAACTCTGCTGAACCCAGTTGAGCCACCAGCTGGCACCCACTTCTTATTGGCATCATCATAAACCATCACAGCAGCTCTTGCCTGACAGATACTCTGTTCACTGTGAAAATAAGAAGCATATATTTCAAGTTTGAGATTTGTAAAACAAGCTGAGTACCCCAAATAGCCATGTAGAGCAGGATAAGCCAACCTGGCAGTCAATCAATAATTACTGCTGCTACGAGGTACTGGAGACAACAGTGAGCAAGACAGAAGCTTCCTGCCCTTATAGGTGGAGTCTATTGAGAAAAACAGACAAAAAATGAAGTATAATGAGGGACAGAAGAGATGGATAGTCACAAAAAAGCACACGGAAATTTTTTTCTAAAGTTGAATATCTACTCTATTTACTAAACTGAACAAAACTACAAATTCAAATCCATCATACCACATTTTCAGGTACATATATGCTTATTACATTGGTAGTCTGTCTTCTTCACTGGCAAAATTACTTTGATAATCAAGGTCTATATGACAAATTTTAAACAAGATACCACTCAAATTTCCTGACTCAATGTGTAAAATGAGATGGTTTCTAAGGAACCATCTAGAACCTATAGAGATAAAAAATTAAAGAAGAAAAGAACGACTCTAGGAGAAAAACTTTAAATCTAAGCTTCATCTTAGTTATTTGTGTGTGTTTTTCTTTTTTTTTTAATAGAGTAATGCAAGTCTAAAGACTTATTTATTGCAAATACTTTTTTTTCAACAACTTAAAAAATGACTATACTATGAGCATCATGGCTGTACTTCTTCCTACAAAGATTTGTTATTTCATTTGACAGTCCATGGAAATTTTAATATTCTCATCTAACACCATAACTAAGGAGCTCTGGTAGCGTAGTGGTTATGAAATCGGGCTGCGAACCTCAAGGTCAGCAGTTCGAAACTACCAGCTGCTCCGTGGAAGAAAGAAGAGACTTTCTGCTCCCACAAAGATGTACAGCCTCGGAAACCCTGTTCAGGGTCGCTATGGGTCGGAACCGACTTGAAGGCACTTAACAACAACAACAATACCATTAACTACTCAAAACGTATCAATTCTCCTATGGTCTTCCTTATTCATTGTCTAACTTTCATATGCGTATGAGACTACTGAAAATACCATGGCTTGGGTCACACACACCCTGTTCCTCAAACTGATATTTTTGCTCTTGAACACTTTAAAAGAGGTCTTGTGCAGAAAATTAGCCTATGCAGTATCTTGCCTGATTTCTTGACTGCTGATTCCATGATGATTAATGGTTGAACGAAGCAAAACGAAGTCTTCGACAACTTCTATCTTTTCTCCAGTCATCAGATATTTACTGGCCCAGTGGTGATTTTTTATTAAAGTGAAACCCATACTGAAGGCTGAGGTCTTTGATCTTCATCAATAAGTATTTTAAGTCTTCACTTTCAGCAAGCAAGGCTGTATCATCTGCATATCTCACGTTGTTAATGAGTCTTCCTCCAACCCTGTTGCCAAGGTCTTCTTCACATAATTCAGTTCTCAAATTACTTGCTCAGCATACAGTTTGAATAAGTATGGAAAAGAATACAACCCTGGCACACACCCTTCCTTATTTTAAGCCATTCACTGTTCCCTTTTTATGTTCAAACAACTGCCTCTTTGTCTATGTACAGGTTCCCCATGAGCACAATGAAGTGTTCCTGAACACTTATTCTCTGCAACATCATCCATAGCTTGTCCTGAGCCACCAATCTGAAAGCCTTTGTGTAAGCACAGCTAAATATCTTTCTGGTATTCTTTGCTTTCTGTCAAGATCCAGCAATAATAACTCCCATTCCAAGTCTTTGTCTGAATCCAGCTTGAACCTTGAGCAGTTTTCTGACAATGTACTGCTACAGCTGTTTTGAATTATCTTTAGGAAAATTGTACTTGCATGTGATATTAATGGTATTGTCCAATGATTTTCACATTCTGTTGGGTTCTCTCTCTTTGCAATGGGCACAAATATGGATCTCTTTCAGTCAGTTGGGCAGGTAGCTGTCTTCCAAATTTCTTGGCATAGAAAAGTGAGTGCCTCCAGTGTTGCATCAGTTCGTTGAAAGATTTCAATTTGTATTCCATCAATTCCCAGACCCTTATTCTTTGCCAGTGTCTTCAGTTAATCTTTGACTTCTTCCTTCAGTATCATTGGTTCTTGAGCATATATTACCTCTTGAAAAGGTTAAATATCGATCATTTATTTTTGGTGAAGTGACTCTGTATTCTTTCCATCTTCTTTTGATGCTTTCTGCATCATTAAATATTTTGCTTATTGTTGTTGTTGTTATGTGCTGTGGAGTCGGTTCCGACTCATAGTGACCCTGTACAGGGTTTCCGCGAGGCTGTAAATCTTTACGGGAGCAAAACGCCTCATCTTTCTCCGGTGTAACAACTGGTAGTTTCGAACTGCTGATCTTGCGGCTCGCAGCCCAATTCGTAACCACTATGCTACCAGAGCTAGAGTCCTTTAATATTGCAAATCGAGGTCTTTTTTCCCTCATTTTGAGAAATGCTGAGCTTCTTTTTTCCTTCCGGTTTTCTAACTCCAGGTCTTCACACATTTCATTATATCTGACTTTGTCTTTGTCTTCTCAAGCTTTTCTGAAGTTTCTTGTTCAGCTTTTTTTTTTGGGAGGGGGGGTGGTTCAGCTTTTCTTTGTCTCCTCCTTTCTTCTAGTTGCTTTAGCATTTCTATGCTGGAAAACAAGTATCAGAGTCTCTTGGACATTCACTTTGGTCTTTTCCTTCTTTTTAGTCTTCTTAATGACCTTTTGTTTTCTTTCTGTATGGTGTTCTTGATGTCGTCCCACAACTCTTCTACTCTTCAGTCATTAATGTCTCATGCATCAACTGTTCTTGTGTTGGTTTCTACATTCAGGTGGGATTTATTGAAGGTCATATTTTGGCTCTACTGAAGTTGTTTAGTTTTCTTCGCTTCTGTTTGAGCTTGCACAGAAGGCCTTTGTTTGGGCTGATGATCCTGAACTTCTCCACCATCTCTTTCCAATGTAGTCTATTTTGATTCCTGTGTATGCCATCTAGTGAGGTACAGGTGTGCAGTCATTTTTTTTTTTTTTTTAAATGTTCTATTCTTTGTACCTTTTTTTTTTTTAAGGTTTTTATTATAATCCCCTCCATGTACCATCAGTTACCTAAGTGCTTCTCTATTCACTTTTTGTTTTTTGTTTTTAACACTCAAGGATATATACATATATACATATAAAATAATTTAAACCACCAAAGGGCACATTCTGCAAGTCTGTCTCCTGGCTGCCATCTCTTAGTCCCTCTCTTTCTATGAATCTAGAGTCCTCAGCGGACTGGTCCCTCTCTCCATGTCCCCATCTCTGCCTCCATCCATCTCTGGCGTTGCTGCTTCTCTAGATAAGGTCTCTCATTCCACTTGTGCTCTTCTCCCTTGATGGTCCTAGGGTCCTCTGTTTCTGGACTTTTAAGATTAACCACTTCCCGGTCTTTGTTACAAAACTTCTACCTTTCACCTTATTTGTTACTGACATTGAGTTATACAATAAAATGGTGACATGACCTCAATTTCTATATTCCATAACCATACCAGAGAAAAAGAGTGAATATTTCATACGATGTTTTATTAAAAAAAAAAAAAAAAATTCAAGTAAGTGAGCAACAGAAGAAAGCTGGTACATTACCTATGTTATTAAACTCAATTAGAAGAACTCAATCTAAACATAAAAGGTTGTCTGATGCTTAAGCAGTAGTTAATGGAGTTGCTTCTAACTAGCCCAAACAAAGCATTGTTACTCAATAATTTTATCTTCAGATTTTAATTAGTAAGTAAAGGTTCTTGCCCCATATCCCCAATAAGCAAAAAAGACTTTCATACTCTCCTCTTCTTTTATTCATGCCTCAGCCTTTCTTTCAGCCCACTGAGGACAGATAAAGCAGCTTTGGGGTAATATATGTTTTATTTTTAATGTTTTCTTCTTGGAGTTTGACTTAAGGTAAAAGACTATTCAAGGTCTAAAGAAGTCATAACATTAAACAAAAAAACTTCTGTATTAGAACTAACAGCAGCAGCGTTGCAATTTTGCATTATAGAACCTTTAGAAATGATATTTGTGTAACTTATTTTTGAAATAAGCCCAGTGACGGCATCTGTATTTTTTACGCTACACTGAAATATTTTGGTAAAATATTTCTGGGAATAACAACAAACCAATCACTAAAAGCTTGATAATTTTTAAAAGATTGATTAGTCAGCAAGGCAGCTGAAATCTCTTCATCCCTAAGAGAGAAATACCTGTGAAATCACATTTGCAGAACCCTATGTTGGACTACTAACTGAAAGGCTGGCAACTCAAATCTATAAGCTCCTCAAAAACCCTATATAGGGTTGCCATGAGTTGGAACCAACTCAATGGTACTAACAACAAATGCCAAGAAAAAGAGACAAACATCAGTAAAGTGCCTCTTTCAGCTCACAATTCAAGAAAACAAGCTACCTGCAAGTAACAATTCAATAAACAAATCTGTAATTAATACAAAACTACTTCTTGAGTTTTCAAAGCTTAAAATATTTGGATTTATATATATTTTCCCCCAAGGTTCAAGAAATATTATCTCTTCAAGAAATCCCAGTGGGATACTATAAACTAAGGCAATGTTGTTGTCAGGAGCATTCGAGTCTGATCCTATTCACAGCAATCCTGGATAGGGTTTTCTGAGGAATAGCTGGTGGGTTTGAACCACTGTCCTTGTAGTTAGCAGTCCTGTGCTCATCCTTTACCACCCCGCCGTTGGGCAATAGTTAAATATAATTTGGGACTCTGCATGCCCCAGAAAAAAAACAAAAAATGTTTTAAAAACATCAACATTTTATAAAACATAAATAAAGTATGGGGAAATTAAATCCAAGGGGCTTATCTATGACACCCCAACATTTTCTTTAAACTTTTTCTTCCCCATTGCTGTATGGTGGGCTACTGGCGACATCACAAATATTGACTCACCTGCTTAACTGAGTAGCTATGATTAGTGCTTAATTAACCATGCTATATACAAACAACCTTGTCAGTCAGCAATCAAATGCC